ACGTAGAGCAAAGCTTTTAATTCTCCTCTTGATTTGTCTGAAGCTGCATTAAATTACATTTTGATTCATAACGAGCGTTTTACTGTGATCCTAAATAAAGTTCAGTTAGGAGAAGAACATGACCCGATCAACACGTGCATGTTTATTTCTTCTGCCATGCACACATGAACGCAGAGAAACGACGATGTTACAAGTTTTAGTCGAACACCTTCTCTTTAACGTGTCATGGCAGTTTAAACTTATTTTAGCTTCATGACTTCATGCCTGAGCCTGTTTTTGTCATTGTTCCCTTTTTGCCTGATGCTTCTAAAAATATTCTCTTTGCATGAATATCGTGTGATTATTTTTAATTCTCTGTTTTAGTTTAGTTTTCTCCGCAGTGAATAAAAACAACAGAATGCTAAAGAGCGATTATCACAAGGCTTAGATAAATATTTTAGTTGAACTGCGAGGTGCTCGACTTTCTGTCATCACTGCCAGTTTTTAACAAACATGTTTTTATTCAAGAGGCCACGTGAAAACATTCCCACCATAAACTGCTGTCTGCTTTAATCAATCAATTAATCAATCAATTAATTAATCAATTAGTACTGTGCAATACCCCAGAGGTAGCTCAGAATGATTGTTACGGTGGCTCATTAGGACATTTTAGGATTGTTCAGTCTGAGTTTAAAGTTTAAACGTTTCAAGAGTGTGAGATCAAAGCTGACAAATGTCTGGAGCTTCAAACTAAATGAGCAGAGATAAAATCATTTTGAGATCATAGAGGAATCAAAAACTTTGTGCAGAAACGGCAGAATGTTTCATCTTTATTCTTGATTTTTTGAGAAACGTGTTGTTTGAAGTGAAAATGTCGGCCAAACATCTGGAGCACGACTTCTAAAGAACTTTTCCATGTTTGTAACAAACCAAGGTTACGGTGACTCCAATCAAACTTATGAGCAATAATGTTTTCAATAATATCTCCATGTGCACGGTTTATAAACTATTCCTGGACGTTGTTTTGTCCTCAGCGTTTCTGGAGCGTTCAGACACAAAGAGACACGTTTCTCTCTCGTGCAACATTAAACTTGTGATGAGCATTGGTCCGATGCTCCGAGTGACAGGAAGTGACCGCTCAGACCTGAAGCACTCGTTTCATGTAATCGTAGTATTTTTTACTTCGTTCTTAACTTTCATCTCATGGAAAACTTGGACACGTGGTCAGAGTGGACTCAGAACGCCTCGTCAAAGACTTTTAACTGATTCATGATCTGAATCCAGTTCTTCAGCTGATCAGTCGGAGTCTGATGCCTCAGGTCCTGCAGGAGGGCGTGCACGTGGCGTGTCCAGATGTATTCAAACATCTTCTCAGTTAGAGATGCTCTGATAAGTGCAGGTCTTTTTCTTGCTGACCCGTCAATCAAAGCTTCCAGCTGGAACATGTCGTGTGCGACCTGAGCGGCTGCAGACGTCTCTTCTGATGTAAATAAAGAAACTTCTATGCATGTTCATTAATAT